CAATGAATAGAAGACCCATTGTTGATAAATTTCAGGGTATCAGAGAAAAATTGGAAATCTTTCAGAGGTCAAAAAAGTAAAACAGTTCACACATATAGGAATAGGAGCCAGAGAAATGTTTTAAAAATAGAAACAAAATGATTTTGAACCTATTTTAGCTATTTCATTTAAGTGGAATAATATATGTCCTTTTATGACTGGCTTATTTCACTTAGCACATTTTCAAGGCTTGTGCCCTTGTAGCCTGTATCAACACTTCATTTCTTTTTATGTCTGACTAAGATCCCATTGTATGGATACACCACATTCTATTTATCCATTCGTCTCTTGATGGACACTTGAGTTGTTTCCACCTTTTCGCTATTGTGAATAGTGCCATTATGAACAAGTTTGTGAGTCTTTGTTTCAGTTCTTTTGAGTATATATCTGTCACTGAGTTCAGCCACTCAAAAGCCAATACCTGAGAGACAAGTGTTGAGTAGAGAGGAAAGGTTGCTTTTTTTCAGGCAACTGGCAGCCTGAGAAGACTGTGACTAGTGTCTAAAGACCATCTCCAAAGTCGTAGACCAGCTAGAAGGCTTTTAAAGAACAGGAAGGGGAGGGGAACTTCCAGGGAACTGAGAGGCTGGGTTTCTTTAGTCATAGATAACGCTTTTTCACATCAGACTCCTGCGTACCTGCAGCTGGTCGTAGCTACCTTGGAGACATTCTTTCCTTCTGTAAAACAAACTCAGAAACTCTCCTCCGGACCCTGAAGTTATCTCCTTCTGCTTGACAAAGAAACAACACATATGCAACACAGAATTATATTGTGAGAATTAGGGGTGCTGGGTCGAGGAACCAAGATTCTGCAAAGTCTCTCATAATTGTGAGTCAACGACATTATCTTAAAAGCAAAGGCAGAAACTAGATATTGTATGACTGTTGCCATTGTTTAAGCTAGCGTTGTTTTGTGTTTAACTAGCTATATTTTTCTATTATCTTGAACGAAATGTACTTTTAAACATTTCTCCTCAACTTTCTTTACAGTCCTTCAGAACACATCTAACATAATTTCTTAATCTTTGACTATAAACTCCATGACAACCAAAGCAATTGAAACATTTAGTTAAACCCTATATACCTTTATCTTAATTAAGAATTATTTAATTCTAGCTGTCAAAAATACTAATGGCATTAAAGTCACAAGGGGCTCAGCGGAATTGCTGTGTCATATGGTAATTCTATGTTTAGCTTTTTGAGGAACCTCTTGGTAACGTTTTCATCACCATAGTTGTTAAAAGACCATAAAGTTAGCAGCATTGTGTTCCCTGCAACCCCTTGCAGAAACTCATCAGCAAGAATTTCTCAACATTAAAGTCAATTTCTTCTGTACTAAATATTAAGCATCATTAGAAGGGATTAGAATTTGAGGTAATAATTTACTTTAGAAAATTATCTGTAAAACTATACCTAGTTTTTTAATATCTTAAATGATGTATACAGCAAAGACAACAAACAAGCCCTCTAAACTTAATATGATAATTCAGGGTTTCCTAAGACATTTTAGCTTTCTGAGAATGGGATTCTATCCCTTGCCCTCTAAAATACATAAACTTGAATGTCATACAAATTGCAAACACTTTTTAAACATGTGACTACCTGTAAAGACTGAATATACAGAAAATATTATCTCAACTACCAAAAAAGGCTCAGAAAGACTAACGAAAAAATTACTAAAATGTTAGTTTACACTAAATATATATGAGCAGTGTGACTATGAATTTTTCTTCCTTTTCCATATTATATTATGTACTTCGTCAGTTTTTTTAAAAAAAAGCAGTAAAATGAACTTATATTTAACTATGTTAAATATTATAAATTAATGATTTTTATTTAAAAGTCAACAACACATATTTAAATAAGGTTACCCACATTTTATGATGTGAGAGGAGGTAATGGCAGGGAGCAAAACCCCTCTGGACTAAGGTGAAGTAGGCAGCCCTGGAGGTAAAGCTTGTTTACATGGATTTTAGTAACAGACAATGGATAGGATGAAATATCCTTAGTAGATTTTTAAAAGAATGACTTTATCTTATGAAAATGATACATTCATTATAATTCCACTGATACAGCAAAGAACAGAGTTGCTTATACTCCCACCACTTAAAAACTCACCACTGTTAACAGCAGGTGGGCATGTTTGCAGACCTCTCTATTCATATGTAGAGATAAGACTGATGGTGGGAATCATTACACTTTTTATTTAAAAAAGTTTTAGAGTTAATTTTATTTGACTGCTAAAGAAAAAAATTAGAAATGAAACTGAAGGGGCAGCTGTACTTCAGATAATGTTTCTTTACCATAGGGCTATTGGTTCCTAAAAGAGCTTGCATCAGAATGCCCTGGAGGGCTTATTAAAACAGACTGCTGGGCCCCACCGCCAGAGCTTCTTATTCAGCAGATCTCCGGTGGGACCAAGAATCTGCACTTCTAACGAGTTTGCAGGTGATGCTAATACTGCTGGTTGAGGACCACCCTTTGAGAACCACTGCACAAAGATCAAGGAAAATACTGAAAAACTTAAGGTTGGTCATTAGGGTTTTTTTCCTGCATTATAAAATACAATCTTAAACATTAAAACTCGATATGACACTTGGCCATGAAAGATGAGGTGGTCAGTAACTTAGTTTTCCTTCTACTTTCTCTCACCCATGTACCAACTGATCGATGTATTTAAATTTCTTTGTCAAGATTGATTATGTCCTATTCTACTGTTTTAAAATCTTAGTTCTGTTATTTTAATGGGCTCAGAGCTCATAACCATTCCCTTTATCGGAACTTTGTTGGAAAACCTGGTCCCCTCTCTTCTGGGTTCCCATTAAATGTTCAGAACAGGGGTTCACTGAACTGAGTCAAAGGTCTATCATATTCATTGGGCTTTGGCTTCCACAGGTGGCACTGAGACCTGGGAAGTGCCTCGTCCTGGGAATTCTTCCTCTTTGCTGTCATGAGATGGTAGCAAAGAATTCATCTCCCCAAGGGTTTTCCTTCACTTTCCTCCACGTGGCCTGATCATCCCCCATCAGTCCCTGTGCTCATATTGGGGCCCACATCACCAAGATGTTGTCAATAATTTACTCAGTGCTCATCAGGGGTGTGGGGGAGGGCTTATAGTCACACCACACCTGCTTCATTAGCATCTTCTTCCCACACCTTCTTTGTCTGGTTGCTGCTGGGAGATTTGTGGCTGCCGGTTATTGAGTTGGCTAGATAATGGGAGAGTTTCTGATCCAGCTTTACTTTTCCTGCTTGTGCTTGGAAGCATCTCCCATCTTTTTTTTTTTTTTAACTACTCAAAAATGTAGGATTGGATAAAACATGGTCCGTATTATGCATCTACATAAGTTATTGCAACATAAAAATGATATTTTTCTCCAATAAAAAAAGTATTCTCTAAAATATTTATAGTTTTCTCTGTGATAGGATTATGGATTTTTTTAAATTGAATTTTATATTGATCTAATTATAGATTTACATGAAGCTATAAGAACTAATAAAGACAGATCCCATGTACACTTTACCGTTTCTCCCAACCCATCAAATTTTAAAACCAGCAAAACCAACACAGCGGTGACTTTGGAGGTTTGTGAAACCAATAAGAAATGTGACATGGGAGGGGGCGCTCAACGAGAAATACCAACGTTTCTCTGCACCTTTTGTATATATATCCAGTATAGTACTTACGCTCTATGTTGTAAGTCTTTGTTTTTGCGAATCTCTTCCCCAAAAGTTGATAAAGTTCCTCAGAGCAGGAACTGCATCTTATCTTTGTCTTCCCAGTGCCAGGGAAGGGCCTACCACACAGAGGAGGAAGAGAAGGCAGTGGTATGTGATTTAACAAAGCATCTTCTCTTCTAAAGTCTTATGCATCAGTGAATTCAAATTCCAGTCAAAAATTGCTATAGATAACCTTTTGTTCAACCTCCACATGAAAATTCGGTATTTAGTTCCTAATAAACATGTTCTACTTGTTACTCATTCATTCAACTAATATTTAATGAGTTTCTACTATGTGTCAAGTAGGATGCTGGGAGCTGGCAATACTATGGTGAACAAGACAAGACATGGTACTCTAAGTTATAAAGTAAGCCTTTCTTTTTTAGGCTTTAGATCTTATGCATACAATGTTTTTTGAATACACTCATGCTACAAAGAGGTATTTTTGCAAATAACATGCTTTGCATTTTGAGACAGTGCCATAAGAATATCTGAATATACCTAGAATGATTAATATTGAATTGACCATCTCACTCTGAAGTGCTACAATAAAAAAAAATAGAGCTAGAGAATCAATGCTGTTTACCAAATTACATGTCTATGGCTTAATGCCCGTTTCCCCTTTCAGACTGTTCATACCATAAAGAAAGGCTCTGTGTGTCTTGTCCTCTTGTTCACTGCTGTAATTTTAGCACAGAATCTGTGCAATAAATGTGTTAACTAAATGGTTAAATATTTGAGGCTCATAACTGTTCCCCAGATTATGGGAATAAACAAAATAAATTATTTTTAAATTTAAGGCAGATGTTATGAGTACCTAACAAAATATAAAACTGTCATACTTCTGTGTGCATGCATTGCTTTCTTACCGTATGTGGAATGTTAAATATATTTGGAAAACCTGACCTATAGAGATGGTAGACAGCATAAGACAGGCCATCTAGCTAAATTTGTTACCTGATTTTAATGCAAGTGTTCTAACCCTGCCCCCTTACTGCAGACCCACTAAGGAATGGCTGCCCTATCTTTTAAATATGTGTAAAAAATATTTGTAGTAAGATTTTTCATAATCCAGTCGTGAAAAATCAAGTTCTTACCAGATTTTGATTTAGAAAGTTCTATCTTTGATTTAGAAAGTCATGTTTAGAAAGTGCAGAAGTGTTTTAAATATCAACTGGTCCTACGCAGGGCTGTAATTCTCATATGAATTAAAATAATGTTCTCACAAACTGGCACGTAACTTCTTTAAGCATAAGGAGCAACGATATTTTATTTTATTACAAATAAACATTTTACAAAAAATTTAATTGGCAATGTATACGTACTATTAAGCAGAACACAAAAACATAAAGAAATAAGGTACTGGGCCTAAAATATCATTTAAAATCCCACCAATTCTATCTTATACATAGTAGGTACTCGATACAACTGAACTTAAAATAAACACTTTATAGTATGTGCTTGCAAAATGTGTAATGCTGTGGTAATAAAGTACAATTTCCAAATATGAGACTGTCAAATTTTTAAAAAGCCTTTAAAAATATGATATGCACAAGCTTGCCCTGAGGGAAAGTAAGATGGAATATGGATTACGAAATCTTCACATATCCTCCACAATAACATTTTGAAATTGGAAAAGAGCAAACGGTTATGGAAAAAAACTGAATGAACTAATTACTAAAAATTCAGTGCACTCATAACTACCTGATGGAATATTTGAAGCACCTTTTCTCTCACCTTCTTATATCATAATATGAAATGTATGAATTATATAGGCCTTAATCTTCAGAAACTTAAGAAAACTTCAAGTTATAAGCCAAAATGTCATCAGAAAAAGAAAAATCTGATATAAAATTTGCTACTGTAAGGCCACTATTTAAAGTTCTTTCATGTACAGACAGTATACAATTCAGATATTTTGTTTTTATTACATCAGCAAAATTTTCAACATAGAAATGTTTGGATATAACTCAGTTTAAGTTCCCTATGAAACCATGCTCAGAGAAAAATTCAACGAATAATGCCCTTTTGAAACCTTTTGCAAAAGAAATTGTAGTTAATACAACATTTCAATTGAATACTGTAATTTAAAAGCAATTAAGTGTAAAAAAGTTGCAGCATTCCACTACAGAAAAATAAAGTTATTTTATCAAGAAAGTTACACTTAGTGCTTTAGTGCCAATTCTAACTTCTGACAAAAAGAGATGCTCCCAAATATCGTCCTGTAGTGTCGTTTCCATTTGCAACAATCCCTGATTAGATTGCTGTGGCAATGTTTGCATATCCCTATTGAAAGAAAACAAAAGAAATATGGACTTCAAGAGAAACATCAGGCATAACATCTGAGCTAGAGTTTTGTTCACATTACCTTTCAAAGTATTTTAATTTATATATACTACTTGCATCCAAGATCCCCAACAAAGGTATGTGTAATCCCAAAGACAAAAGTAACAACACCACACATCAAAATGGATATCAAACGATATCAGTAGGACAAAGAAAATATATGGCACTTGATACACTGGTATTAGTGATGAAAATTGCATTCTGTTATTGTGTGAGTTTCATTGGGACATCTCCGGCCGCCCCCCCCCCCAAAAAAAATTCAAGGCTCTTAAGCTTTAGTCCCTCAAGTACCGAGCCTGACGTGACACACATACAACTTCAAAGTGGCATTTTATCTTTATCATCATATAGTATCTAATTCTAAAACTATATGGACTCTTCTAGCTTGGCTGATAACAGCAAAGAAAGCTATGGGTGGGGGGAGCTTTCTTGCTTTTGGATGGTTACCAACAACATAAAAAGATGTAAGGCTTCAAAAAACATAGAAAAAGAAATTCACAAGAACAGTAAGGCTATAATTAAAAGGTAATAAATGTGGATTCTCTAGTGTGATGCTATGCAAAATATTAAATTACCAACCACGAACTGGACATAAGACCATGCAACTACTGAAAGAGCAAAAATGGTAGAATGACGTGTTTTTCTGGTACATTACACATATGTCCTTACCTTTTACTAGGTTCTTACATTATTAAAACTGAAAGAAATGTAAAAGTTGATTTATTTTTTTGGCATTTATATTAGTATGGAAACAGTGAATTCCAAACAAAAACAGTACTGATAGAAAATTCTTATTCTTCTTTCTAATTTGGTTAACGAAATGTTCAAAATACATGCATATATATTGTATCAACATCATTCCTTTAAACAGAGGTAGACCACTGTATCCTATCTCTTTACTCATTATATAACATAAAAAATCATATACATTGACTTTAAAATATCTGTTGCCTACTAACAACTTTAAAAGGAAATTCTAACTACAATAATTCTTGAATTTTCAACTGAAATACCTTGTTTATAAAAATGTACAATTATTCCGAATAATATTCACCCTTGACATAACTGCTTCTACACCATCTCTTGAATTGACCCCTCCGTTCTTCCAATTATTTGAAAACCTAATTAAGCAGAATGCTGAACTAGATATACAAGCACCACCCTCATCCAGGTTTTTATAACTTAATATTTGTTCCATTGCAAATGTCCCCTTGTTAGTCTGACTACCCACTGCTCACCAAGTGGTTATCCTCAAGGACCACTTTCTCCCTCTCAGTCAAGGAAGCTGTCCTATTACCACATCGCATTCTCAATATTCTGACCAGTTTCTGAGGGCCTATATAATTTGTATAGCCCTATCTCTATCCAACTCTACATCTACTGCCAAACACATCTTTAGCTGTAGCCCCTTCTATGTCTTGTATACTCCATGACTCGGCTCACAACCTATCTCCTCTGTGAATAAAGTAGAGCTCAAGGAACTTAGCATATATTCCCTGACCATTCCTAACATATTGATCTCTCTCTCCCCTTTAGGCATGTACTATCTGTGAAATTAAGCTGTTCAAAAATATGGTTGTACGAAAGAGTTAATATAGCATACCTGACTGCTATCCTTTGAAAGGCCTACTTACAAGGTTGGCCCTTGGCTGGCATCTGGGAATTTAGATTTCGGGAGGGTTCACATCCCTGATGAGTGTCTAAACTGTGCAGACAATACAGTCTATGCTTTCTTTCTGAGGGTCTGGAAAGTGGGTATGTGCCTGGCAGGGACTGCCTATGAGACCGGTCCCCAATAAAAACCCTAGGCACTGGTATTTTATCTTTTCATCAAATGAGCTTCCCTGGTTGGCAACATTTCACATGTGTTGTCACAGCTCAGTGCTGGAGGAAGTCCTGTGTGGCTCTACAGGGACAGGACTCTTGGAAACTTGCACCTAGCGTCCTCCGGACTTTCCCCAGGTGCCAATGCCCTTTTTCTGATTATGCTGTGCATCCTTCCACAGTAACACATCATAGCCATGAGCGTCACTATAGGCTGAGTCCTGAGTCCTCCTAGCGAATCACTGAACCTGGGCTTGCTGTTGGGGACCGCTGACACCACGGCTGCTGTTCATTAACTTTTTAGAGCTACTGATGTGTGTGTGTGTGAGTGAGTGTATGTGTGTAACACACACACACACACACACATATTAGATTCGATTCATTCAACAAGAATTTTCTAAAGATGGACTATATGAAAGGCAATAGGGGAATATATGAAAACTAATGAGGTACCTCTATCCTCAAGGAGTCGACCATCTATTTGGGGAAATAGGAAGGTAAACAGAAACAGTTAGAGAACAAAAAAACCAAGAGCTAAAGAGGGAGCTTTGGTAAGGCTTTACAGCGGGTCTTAAAAGGAAAGCATGGTTTTAAAGAGGCTATTTCTAGCCAAGAGAACAGCAGGAACAAAGATACAAATACATGAAAACATCTGTTATGCTCCAAAAGGCAGAGGGCCCATGGAGAAATGTAGTTATAAAAGTAGCTTAGGGATGGACGTGGCTAATAAGTCTAATCTCTTTTTTCATAGGCAACAGAATCCCTGGAAAGTGTTGGCACAAGATTGATATGATTCAATCTGTGTTTCGGGACAGTAACTGTCCTAGTAGTGAAGGGATGGAATAAACAAATCTCGGGAGGCAGGGAAACAAGTTAGAGGCTCCAAAGAGTTCAAAGACAGACAAGGAATACATAAAAATGCAGCATACAGTAAAGGTGGCATTTTCAATTAGTGGAAAAAGGACAAATTATTCAATGAACAGTGTTAGAAAAACTGACTGTCCATTGGGGAAAAAATTAGATCCTGACCTCACACTGGATCATACAAACAAATTCTAAATGGAATAAATATTTATGTTAAAAATTTATAACCATAGATTTAACCTTTATGATTATAAAAATAACCATAAGGAATTTTTATAAGCGTAAGCATGATATAAAATCTGGAAGCTGTATAGACAAACTTTGACTGATTCAGGAACGTTTACAAGTTCAATAACGTAAAAGCCACTATAAACAGCTGACAAACATAAAATGAATGCCAGCAAAATGTACGACAGGTTAATAATACCCTCAGTAAATCTGGAGCTCTTACAAGTCAATAAGAAAAAGTACCATCCTTCAACAGAAACACTGGCAAAGCACAGAAATAAGGAAATTGAGGGAAGAAATAGAAATGGCCGATAGACACATAAAATATTTACTCACATGATTAATAATCAAAGAAAGGCAAATGAGAACTATTTTCTGCTATTAGCTTGATAAAGACTGATAATGTGGAGTGCTGGTTAGGGTGTAGGTAAACAGGCCCTTTCATGTACCTCTGGTGAGAACAGAAATGAGTAAAAGGGGCACTATGGCAAGGTACCAGAGTGTCCATGTGCTCAGTGATATTACTGAAAATAATGAAAACCTACAAGCTATCCTGAAGTCATCAACAGAGGCTTGGTTAAGTAAGGCAAAAATCATCAAACATACCCGTAGGGGTAAATGACGACTTCCCAAGGAGTATGTGGGTGTGGGTAGTTTGGAGGGAATTAATGTCCAGATCTTCAAATTCCCAACGCTTGCTTTCCAAAATTAACCTGCTTGCACAACTGATTAAGGCTGGTTCCCCACCTCCCACTTTATATGAGAAAGATACACCTTCTCGTCCCGAATTTTACTACTTTGCATTACCTGGGGACCCCTAAAAGAGGGGTAACTGGAACTACTGGTGGTATAATGTGAAGAAAATGAACCCACCCTAGCAGCTAGTGATAAATACCATACTAGGTCCGATGGTTTCCGATTCCTTGTTTTTAATAATAGAAAGAGGACAAAATCAAGCTGTCAGTGAAAGAACACTCAAAATACTTTTTGATGATAGATCATTAAATGATTTTTCTGGCCTATAATTCATAGTGAGTCCAAAGAACTGAGTGACATGGCTATATTAAAAGTGCTTTCATTTCCATCTATATAATCATATAAACAAGGTTTCTCAGGACTTACATCTATAAAAAGAAAAAAACAGAATTAGAATGGATACTTGTGAACACTATATTATACTACTAGCAATAAGTAATATTTATCTCCGAATACATGAACTAATTGCAAAGAGAAATGAAAGAAGTTTTATTAGAAATAAAGTTTTATTTCTAATAAAACTTCTTTCGTCTAACCGATACGGAATAAAACCTGTAATGTATTTGATGTTTTCATCAACTATAATGTTAACTCAAACCTAGAGGAAATACTTAACACCTAATAGTCACAGAAATCTATTAACATTATGTGTCAAATTTGATTTGGTGATCAATAAAAGACTTTCAAAGAAAGTCTATGGGGGAAATGAAATGAATTCAAAATTCGAAGCAAAAAGGGGAATGATGTAAAATTTCTCACTGTTAAAAGTGCTTCTTTGTAAATTTTTAAAAAATGGATAATGTTAGTTATCGAATTCTTTTGGTGTGTAGGCTCCGCTGAAGAAATTTAAAAGAATAATGTAACGGTTTTAAGACTCTCAGTATTTACAACATGCCAGAAATTATATCCTTCATAGCAACTTAAATTTATGATAAAAAAATACTAGATACCAACCTAAAAGTATATAACAAGGTTAATAACTTTTCAAAATTTTAGGGTATGTAAGCAAAAAAAGTCTGAAAAGCACTGAAATAAATAATACATCCACTATGTGCAATAAGAAGCAGCCATTAAAATGAATGAATTGAATGAAGTAATGAATGAGTGATAGATGTAAGACTTGGAACGGTCGAAGTTGAAAGGAGAAGGAGGAGGATTAATAGGACAAGTTTCTGGTTTGGCTGGCTAGCTGCAGGAGCTACGAACCATGAGGAGAAACTAGTGGCCTGGGAAGGAGAGCAAGTTTGATTTTTTGACTTTATTTTCAA